GCCATGACATATGAAATTGTAGGTCAATTAGTTTTCTTTCAAATGCCACCGATTTTGTATCATTTAATGTTTTAAGTAAAGCATTATGACCATTTTACCAGAGACTAGTGTAGTTGTAAATAAGAGAAACCTCGAACGTTCATAAGTTTGGCTTTAAATGTTAGTTTCGGGTATAGAAAAACTCTATTTCACGGTCCATACCTCATTTGAACTTATAAATACCTATAATTACCCATTTGAACTAACACACATAATTTATTAAATCATCACAAACATCCACAAAAAATTTTGGTCAAAAAACTACATGCAATCAATGTGTGCCTCTCCTAAAGGTAAACAACGTATACTACCATATATTTTTGTACATAATGAATTAGGTGAGACATATGAAATTGTAGGTCAATGAGTTTTCTTTCAAATGTCACCGATTTGGTATCTTTTATTGTTTGAAGTAAAGCATTATGACCATTTTAGCAGAGACTAGTGTAGTTGTAAATAAGAGAAACTTCGAATGTTCATAATTTGTGCTTTAGATGTTAGTTTCGGGTATAGAAAAACTCTATTTCACGGTCCATACCTCATTTGAACTTATAAATACCTATAATTACCCATTCGAACTAACACACATAATTTATTAAATCATCACAAACACCCACAAAAAATTTTGATAAAAAAACTACATGCAATCAATGTGTGCCTCTCCTGAAGGCAAACAATGTATACTACCATATCTTTTAGTACATAATGAATTAGGTGAGCCATGACATATGAAATTGTAGGTCAATGAGTTTTCTTTCAAATGCCACCGATTTTGTATCTTTTAATGTTTGAAGTAAAGTATTATGACCATTTTACCAGAGACTAGTGTAGTTGTAAATAAGAGAAACTTCGAACGTTCATAATTTGTGTTTTAGATGTTAGTTTCGGGTATAGAAAAACTCTATTTCACGGTCCATACCTCATTTGAACTTATAAATACCTATAATTACCCATTCGAACTAACACATATAATTTATTAAATCATCACAAACATCCACAAATAAATTTGATAAAAAAAACTACATGCAATCAATGTGTGCCTCTCTTGAAGGCAAACAATGTATACTACCATATCTTTTTAGTACATAATGAATTAGGTGAGTCATGACAACCGCGTAATTTTCCCAAGAGTTAATAGGGCTTAGGTTTTTTTAGTGATTTGGTGCTTTCTTTGGCCCGACTAATTTGTATCAATTTTTTTCACTTCCATTTTATCTTTAATTTTTATCCTCAAACTCAAAGATAATAATCTTAATTTTTGTTCATGCTCGTTATTTAATTAAAAATTAGTGTATTATTAAAGTATCTTTAGCTATGACCTAATTTAGCAAGACATAAGTTTAGATAATTTATACCTTCGACATAAGCTGGGTAAATTTATAAGACACAAGTTTAAAGAATTTTTGCTTTGTTCGACAAAAAATGTGTAGTATTTAATTTGCATAGAATAAGTTTAGAGAATTTTTACCTAATTCTTCGCAATTTTAGAGTACTTTTGTAGGGTTGCGAAACTAAACTTATGCCTTAATGGGCAGCTATGTGAAACTTAAATTAGCAATCAAGTCATAATACCTAACATAATTAGTCAAAACAACAACACTTTAAAATATTTATTTAAAATGTCAGAATGGCAATATTTTAGAAAATAATTTGTATTCAGATTTTATTATTTAAATTTCCTTTTATTTATCAAAACAATTCTATATTGGATCAAATTATAAACCAATAACCGTTTAAAAAGGAAAAACAATTACACCACACCACTACCCATTACCCTTATTTCCCCACCTTTTACGTTTTCCAGCTTCTCTTTCTTCAAGGTTCTCACAAATTGTTCAACAAAATCTCTATTTTAATTCAAGAAACTTCTCGATTGTTAAACGAAATCTCTATATTAATTCAAGAAATTTCTCGATTGGCAAAGGTAATTTTCATTATTTATTGAGATTTATTTTTTATTTGCTTTTTAAAATCACCGATTATGGTGTATATTCCGGATTGTATATATTACAGATTTTCAGTCAATTTTTTCGATTTTTCTTTGATTTTGTTTAGATATTCATCAAATATTTATGTATTTCAGATTTTTAGTCTTTTAAACAATTTTTTTGTGATTTTGTTTTAATTTTTCAGATTTAGTAGAATCTAAAAAATCATTTATATGTTTATTTTGTTTGATTTTTAATACATTTATATTTGATAATATCGAAATTTATTTTTAGGGTTTTAGATTTTGGGGAAATCATCTGATTGTCGACAATGACTGAATCAATCTGAATTACTAGAGGTATACCGAATAATATTCAAAATTTTGGGGAATTTCCCTCATATAATTTGTGTATTACCCAAGTTTTGGAGAATTTTCCTCAAATTTTGGGGAATTTCCCTCATTACCGTATTAGTAAGACATTTTTTGTATTTTAATCATAATTGTATTAGTAAGACATTTTTTGTATTTTATTTTTTGTAAGACATTTTTTGTAGTCATGTGTATACTCTCTGCAGTTTTAATCATAATTGTATTAAGAAGACATATTTTTGTATTTTATTTTGTTAAAGCAATATAAGTTTGATGAAAACATAATATATAAAATTGTGATGAATACATTATAAGAAGGGAAATACAAACTTATTTGGTACTCATTTGGCGTTTTAAAGTGAAATAATAATAATAATAATAATAATAATTTAACAAGACTGGATATTGAAATATAAATACAATTTAGTTTGAATACAACTTATTCTATATTTTATGTTTTCACCAAAAATGTATTTTCAATATCATTTTATTTTACTACTAATTTGTATTTATATTATTTTTTCTTAAACTAGAATGCCAAAAGAGTTGTATTCATTATAATTCTATACCAACAATTTTTTGTATTTTAAGTTATACATATCTTTAGGTATATAGATTGTATTTCATTTTTTATATAATTTAAATTTGTGACTCATATAATTTTTCACTTACACTTTAAAGTAATTACACATTAAATACACAAAAATAAAATAAATTCATAACATGAATATGAATACATTTCGGTTAAACACATATTCAAAGAATTTCAAACAAGTAAATATATAAAACAGAGGGCATTAGAAATTGGGAAACAATTCCACTTTAGTAAGATATAAAATTCAAGCATCATTAACTAAACAATACGCGACATTCCTACACGAACGCCTATTGTGCCCCTTAAACCCACAAGTACTGCAAGAATTCTTGCTCTTCTTCGCATATAGCTCGATGTACGCCTTGTCACGATACTTCTTGGATGACCTTCTAGGTAGCTAGCTTCAAAAAGAAAAAATATAGAACACACACTCCATACATATTGATTTGTATTTACATACAAAGATTTCACCTTTTAGCTCAACTACAACAAATTGAATCCAATATTTAATTGTATCCAGAACTTACTACAAGGCAACAAATATTGGTATACAATTCTTAATTACTTTATGATTTTTAATCCCTGGTTGTACTCTGTTCAGTATATCACGGAATTTTTATGACTCTATCACTATATTGTTACTATTTACATTAACTTAATGGGATACAAAATATTGTATGCATTAAAAAAACAGCTTCCAAACTAAAAAAAACAAACAATTTCATTCGTTCTACATCATAATTTGAATACAAAACATCCAAAAAAAAATGGGATACAAAAATCTCATATTGTTACTGTTTACATTAACATAATGGGATACAAAAATATTGTATGCATTCAAATAAAAAAGAAAACAGCTACGAAACTAAAAAAAAATCAAGCACTTTCAATCGTTCTACATCATAGTTTGGATACAAAACATCCAAAAAAAAGCTAAAAATATCAAACCATATAGAGATTTCACCGATTTCATCAGGAAAAAAATCAACCCACTATTATAGTCGAGATATACGAATATATCATCCAAACAAATAAAATAATCGACAAAAACAAAATTACCTGATGTCGAAATTCCTTGAATTCAATGGAACTGACGAAATTATAGTCGTGAATTTTAAAAACCTCTGTTTCAAGAATATGCCAAATTCAACTCAAAAAAGCTTTGAAAATTATCAATTGAATGATTCGGAAGACAAAACTATTTTTTGCAAAAATTTTTTTGAAATTCTTAAGAGCAAGACAAAAAACGCTCGAAAGAAAAAATGGCAACATATGCTCTTTCAAAACATAACTGATTTATATTTTTTTTTTTAAATTCCTTTTTGAAATTTTCTGTTCCATGATTTTCTCTGTTCTGTTATTAATTATTTGTATTCTTTCAAATTAATCAAAATAAAATAAATACATAACTCATCCCTTAACAAGCTAAAATATTGTCATTTTAAATAAATAGTGAAACTATTGCTAAGGAGTCCCACTAAAAACTAAATTATTGTTGTTTTGAAAATTTTCCCAACTTAGTTATATACCTTATGTGAACTAACCTATGCTTTTAACGTCATAAATTCTATAGAAATTAAGTGGGTTATGCTTTCTGCAAGGTATCTCTTGTGTTATAGTGTGATATCAACTTTCGACCACTTATTTATTACCTAAAATGCTGAAAAACAAAAATTAAAGCACACTAAAAATTAGGCCATCCATTTTCTTGCTTGTTAGTACCGATTATAATCATAAAAGAACCCAAAGAAATTGTTTGATAATTAAATTAAATAACAAGGGCAAGATAAGAAAATACAACAGGTGACAACCATCTAAAATAAGCTGTTAGGTTTGTTCTGTTTACGGACAATGTGGGTTTGAATCACGTGAAATTGGTCAAGGTGTACAAAATTTGACCCGAACACCACAAGTTTTATAATAAAAAGAAGTGTGGTCTGTGGAATGAGAATCCAGCAGTAACACTCAACCAATTCGCACACATCCAGAGTCGATAAAACCAAAAGAATCTGGATTAATTTGGAATAACTTTGTAGGAAATTTAAGTGATAATAAAAATATACCAAATGAAAACAGGCAATAGTTGCTCAGAACTGCATCAAATAATTTTATTGTTTCTTTCAAATACATTGCATTTTCTGTAGAGCAAATTCCTATCCTAGAAATGAGAAAAATACAATGTCATAACATCTTGCAACAGTAAAATAAGTTTGGCGATCATTCGCAGGCGCATATTGACATCACCTTCAAGAAGAATGAAACAATGTACTAGGGACTATGTCATGGCTAAGAGAGGGCACCTATGAAGCTCACTAAATGGACACACTAGCTCTCAAATTTAACAGAACTTCCAGCGCTTTTGGCAGTTCACACATGTCACGTATGTGGTCATAGGTTCATCTGCACTTCGCGTTTGCATCTGATAGTAGGTGCATTGACTCTTCTTACACCTACCACACTTGAACTTATCAGTACTAGCCTGTACAGGAGCTCCAAGTTCACTATTGTATAACGCTTTTTCTTTGATTTTCTCATTCTGCTTTTGCCTTTCTTCGCTTGCCATTTCTTCTGGTGTCAGATCAGTAATAGTACGAGGAGGGAACTTCCCCAGAAGAACTTTTCTCCGGAAATCTTGATTGTTTTGATCCTTGATATTGAACATTATAGACCTATACTTGAACTTCTGGGCACCACTAGATCTACCCCACTTCTCAAACATTGCAGTCTCTACCTGAACAGCAACTCTATATGGATCACATGCATTTACCTCATCCCTCAATTCCTCGTCAACTTCACCTGAGACTTTGCATAAAGCCTCTGCAAGAAGTTCCCGAACTTTATCCCTCACAGAATCCTTGCAATAAATTAGAGCACCCAACTTTGGCGGAGCAGCACTTGCCACATTAGAGCTACTCTTTTCAGTCTTCAGAACAATAACGCGTCCAACATTTTTCTCAGCAAAGGGACTTTCTGTCTTTACTACTTCCTCAATTTTTGAAGTCATCCTTTCGACTTTAACATCATCAACCCTAGACACCTTTTCAACCTTCACCGACTCTGCTCTCTGAGATTTAGTGGCTCCATTAGCAGTAGCAGTAGCAGTAGTAGTAGCACCAGCAGATTCATCTTTTACAGATTCCCCATTCACTCCATTGCTGTTCTTATTTTTCAGTGTTTCTCTTACAATTATATTCTTCCAGTTCTGAACCACATCAGATGCCAAAGCCTGGATCTTCTCCCTTGGATGTTTTGTCAATTGTCGAAGACGCTTTCCCACCTGAAACATGCTTCCTTGTGTCAAATAGAGAAAAGGAATTATATGCTTCTCACTAGCATCAAGTTATGCTGATACAGTGAACAATAAACCTGACCAAAAACGTAACAATTGTGCAAAAATCATGTAATGTTTATCAACAGATGTCCAGAAACCCTTCCGAGGAAGGGAACCTCTCTTTCAATGGAGGAGCATGATGTATATCCCAACTTGAACCTCCTCCCAAACAGAACACAATCAAGAAAGGAGAAAAGATGACACAAACTACAAAGCATAATTGGAAAGTGAAGCAGATAATTCAAGTGGTTGAAAAATCCTTTAAAATTCAGTTTTTTAGTTTTCAAACTTGATTTTTTTCTAAAAAGTTAAAAAAATTTAGCTTTTTTGAGAAACAACCAATTTTCTAACCAAACGCGACAGAACTCATCTCCTCAGACTTCAAACATCAAAAGTGGAGACATGTTGCACTAATTTATATAACAATGGTATGCTACCATCTTGCGCGCGCATCAATTAATCTATTTCTGCTACCTCCCACTCCCATCAGCAGAGGTTCTAGCAACTCTATTCACCGAGTTGGCAGCACCTCAATATAAATTTATCTCTGCTACCTCCCAACTCACACCAGCAGAGTTTCTGGTAACTCTACTTCACCAAGATTTAGATTAATGGCTGAAATCACCTAGTGTTTTTGCTTCCGCTAGGATTTCAACCCTATTCTCCCATAAACCCTTCCAACTTAATCACACGACATCTTTTGTACGCATTTATCAGTTCAATTTTTTCCAAAGTTCGAAACTTTACAACTGCAACCCTTCTAATCCAGAATCGCGGAATATATACACGATAAGCAGAAACTTGTGTATCCGAAATTACGTGTATCAAGTTCTAGGTCAAAAAAAAAACGCTAAGGAAGAATGTATCATTACCTGTGAAGATACGAGGACTTGATAATTGACAGGAAACTTCTTAAGCTGTTTCAAAACATCAAGACATCTACTCTCCTCCGGCGACGAATCTCCGGCGCCGTCCACCGCAGCTGCATCAGCAGCTTGCTTAACCTTCTCGAACAGCTCAACCAGCTCCCTCTCCATACTTCTATCTCCACTATACAATCAACCGATAATTCAACAACAAAAAAATTAGTAAAATCCCACACACATATACACAGAAATTGCAAAAAAAAGTAACCAATTGAGAATTTCACGTACAATTCGATAAATGTGAAGCCGGAATTGAACCTGCCGCCGCGAAACTTGACGGCCGAATGAAACCCTAGCTTCGGTTACAGTAAAAAAAAAATTGAAGAGGGGAGGAGATAAATAAAAGAGATCGTTGGCGGGCACGTATGAGTGATCGGACGGCTGTAAAAGGAGATTGGTGTGTGATCTAACGGTATAGGATTGACGGGCGTATTTCCAATTTGGGAAAAAATCTGAATGATTCTACTTGTAAAATAGTGAGAGAAGTATTCCTATTTTCGAAGGAATTGGGAGAAACAATAGTCACGTGACATCTAGAAGGTTCAAACTTTCAACTTCTGATCGATGAAAGCTTTTTAGTTCCTTTGTATCGTCTAGGATAATCTACATTTCGATTAATCAAATTTTGATTGATGAAAGCTTTTTTTTAGTTTTTTTTTTTTGTGTCGTTTCGATTGATTTGTATCTCGACCTTTTTATTGAACAACTAGACTATGATCGATGAGAGCTCTTTTAGTTCTTTCATGTCGTTTTGATTGGTCCACATCTCGATTATTTTATTGAATAACTCATTCGATCAATGAGAGCTCTTTCAGTTCCTTTGTGACGTTGATTGATCTGCATCTCAACTATTCTAATGAATAACCAGATCCGATTGATGGGAGCTTTTTTCAGTTTCTTTGTGTGATTATGTCATTCCAATTGATATGCATCTCAACTATTTTATTGAATAACTAGATTATAATCGATAAGAACTCTTCCAGTTTTTTCATGTCGTTAATATTGGTCCGCATCTCGGCTATTTTATTGAATAACTCGCCTTTTGATCAATGAAAGCTCTTTCAGTTCCTTTGTGCCGTCATGAACATATGCATTTCTACGTTTTTATTATATTAATTAATTTTTTGACATATGCATTGTACATTTGTGCTGAATTTTGAGTATTAAAAATTCAAATCTATAGTTTACATATAAACATAAAGGACTGTTATTCTATTGAATAACTAGATTCCAACCAATAAGAGCTTTTTCAGTTCCTTTGTATCGTCCCAACTGGTTTGCATCTCAACGATTCTATTGAATAACTTGTCTATCTAGGTCATATATATAATATGTTCATGAGATAATTTAATTTAACAAACATATACATTTTTACGCTTTTATAGTTTTAAATAATTTTCTGGCATATTTGTTGCACTTGTTTATTGAGGTTTGTGGGAAATTTTGAGTATTAGAAATTCAAATTTGTAGTTTACATATAAACATAAAAGAACTTGGTTATTCTATTGAATAACTAGATTTCGACCAATGAGAGCTTTTTCAATTCCTTTATATCATCCCGTCTGCATCTCAATTATTTTATTGAATAACTCGTATATCTAAGTCATATATATAAGTTTATGAGATAATTTGATTTAATGAGCATATACATTTCTACGCTTTTGTAACTTTACTTATTTTTTTGACACATACATTGCACGAATATGCTGAATTTTGTAAGAATTTTTGTAGTTAAAATTTCAAATTTATAGTTTACATATAAACATAAAGAACTCGGTCAATTACTTTCCAATAGCAATTGCATACACAATCTAATTAAGCCAGATGAAGTACTCATCCATCATTCTTAAATTAATTTTATACTTGGATCAAATGGGGTATTGTTTATTTATTTATTATTTTTAAGTGATTAAATTTATTTGACACATTTTCTATATAATTAGAGTGATTAATAGAAATTTACATGATCAATTTATGTAGCACTTTTGATACCTAGCATGATATCAACTTTTATAAAATATGTTCTTTCAAATGTGGTAAGTCATTTTATTGTTAAATTTGATCCTTTTTTAAATAGATGTCCAATCAGTTTTCGCACAAAAATTTTAAATTTGTGATCCTTATCTATGCTCAATCGCATAAAAAATGCGAAAAAACATACATCAACATATTAATGACAGTATAAAAAATATTTAAGATGTTTTTAGTTGATGATATTAAGTAATTTAATTTTGTATTTAGTTGAATGTAATGTAGTAATTTAACATTTAAGTTAGAAATTTCATGTTTTTAAGATAATATAAATATAAATTTATATATTTATAATGATCGTATCATAAGCACTTTAAGCCATCCTCAAGAAATGTTTTTAGATACAACTATAAAATTACAATTTATCTTGGCTCAACAAGTACAAAATGCCCATGCTTTAGCACTAGTGTTACGATTCCACAAATATGATCGAAACAAATCATTATATTAGCTATGCAGTTTTAGAAAAACACAGCAATTGTAACAAATAATCTACCAACATGGGTTGTGGTGCACTAGTGAGAGTGCTTTACCCATAACCAGAGATTTCGGGTTCGAGCCTTGAGTGTGGAGAAATTATTCTCATCATGTTTAGTAGTGTTTTCAACACTTCGCTTGAGTTTTGTATTAAGAACCCTACAAGAGTTTGAAACCATTAGCTATATCATATGGTACATCTAGTCAAATAGATTAGTATTTTTAAGGCTATGAATAATATGAATACAAAACTAATAATTTACGGTCGATTTAAAAAAAAAATCCCCTCCTTGTTTATAGTGCTATTAAACTTTTACCTATATAAGAGTTAAAAATTACTGTATATATTTAAATAATCTGCTTACTATGCTTTCGTAGACCGCGAAGCAGACAATATCTTAAATCAATCACACTACAGAACTTCCGTAGCGGATCAATCGTCGTTATTTTCCGGTCCCGTCTGTTCGCCGGCGATCGGAGATCGGTGAGATTCTCACGATGCTGAATTTCTTAAAAGGCGTCGTCAGTGGATCTGGAACAGGCCTCAAAGATCTGCCATACAATATCGGTGAACCTTATTCATCTGCTTGGGGCTCTTGGATTCATTACCGTGGCACTTCCAAGGTTCTCTTTGTTTTTCCTCTATTTATACACTCGAACTAATGTGATTTCGACGTAGTTTTGATCTCTTTTATGCTACGAGCTTAAAAATTGCTAGCATTTCTGTTTTGTTTTTTTTTTTTTAAAATCCCTTCCATAGATTGTGTTGTTCGTGTGCAGAGCGTTTGGCCATGAATACAAATTGGAGCCGTTTTTGATTGTTTGGGAGTAATTTGAAGTGAAAAAAAGTAAAAACAGTCTATTGGCTTTTCTCAAATTCCTGAAAATTCTGAAATTTAACTTCAAGTTGAATTCTAGAATTTTCCGGAATATCATTGCTAAACGTGTGCTTATTGTTTTGGATTGGGAATTTAGCATAACAATTTTGGCAATTGTCTCAATTGTGCTTATTGTTGATAGTATCTTTAAATATTAGATCGTGTGAGCCAATGGGTGCGGCCTAGTGGTCTTAGGTTCAAATTTTTGGACAGTAGGTGATTTATTTACATCTATCTTAGCCTTGGTGGACAAAATTACCAAGTACTTGTTGCTGTGCTGATGGGAGGTGGCATGTAATGGTATCTCGTGGAGTTAGTTGAGGTGACGGTTATCAAAACAGTAAAAATATAAGATTGTGTGATGAGGACTTGTTAAGGCAGTGGGATTTGAATTTCACATTCTAAGCGTTCTTCTGGGTAGTACATGGAAGCTTACTTGTTCTATATTTTCTCAATAGTCACTTCAGTATGATAGTTCGTAGAGGTGATTCTATCGTTCAAGGAATGTAGAGAGTTTTAAAAGAGTGTCAATGTGTGCTGTATAGCAATTAGCAATCATGCTGAAGAAGGATGGGCAAATATCAATGATTAAGACCCATTATTCACAATAAGAAGTGACCATTATTCCAGTGGGAAGAATCACAATATAACTGTTGAGGTGCTTTATCATAGACAAAAGAAGGTACCCCCCCCAAACCCAAAAAAAAGAAGAAAGGAAGGGAAACCAGGAGTACTAAGCCAGACATTGGAAGAGCTTATGATATCATGTGAGCTGAGAAGGTTTACATTTTGTAACAATTAAGATAGCTGCTGGGGATAGGTGGAGGAGGTGAATCAGGTACAGAACATCGATGTCAAAATTCTCTATATAGTAAATGAGAGTCATTTGGCTTCTTTGGTAGTTCCAAAGGACTGATGCGGTGACACGATTTCTCATATACTACATCTTGGTGATGGAAACATTGAGCAAGATGATATTTGAAGGGTTTTACAACCAGTAATGGGCAGGATATTGACAAGTCTCACACTTACCATTTGCAAATGATAAGTCAGTGTCTTCTTTATGCAAATGAATCTCAATTAACATATCTGAGACAAGTGATTACTGTGGTTCCAAGCAGTTTGTGAGAATCAATTTAAAGAGGTGTGAAGTTATCTAGGTCAGAGAGATGCACAACTTCAAACACAACTGTTATATTGCCTAGCTAAGTCATAGGAAGTGTCCTACTGCAATATAACACTTCCTAACCATTTTTGAAGGCATTTCAGGCTCCATGTTAACTGGCAAAAAAGTTGTCTCCACCCCGTCAATCAAGTGCTTAATATGCAGATCCTACAGAGAACGCAGGGTGTCAAGTGGCCTCCCTACTAAAACCTAGGTATGCCTCTTGGGGCAAAGAATAAGGAGTTGGAAGTGTGGAATGAGATTTTGGAGAGAAGTGAGAGGAAACTAGCAATATGGAAAGGTCAATATTTGTCTTTGGGCGGCAAATTAGCATTTATAAAATTAGTCATGGATGGCCAACCTACCTATACGACGAGTCTATTCCCTCTGGCCTCTACCAGGCAACATAGAGAAAAAAACCAATAAGGTAAGAAGAGTATTCCTATGGCAGGGTAACCACTAGAAGAAGGGGTACAATCTAGTCAAATGGGATAAGGTGATCCTTAGCAAAGAACAGGGTGGTCTGGGCATAAAAAAAGCTAGGTGCACACAATGAAAGTTTACTGGAGAAATGATTGTGGAGATTTTATTGTGAAGATATGGGCATATGGCTCTTTGGAGGAGATTCATTTCACAGATATGGCTCCAGGTACGGGCTCCTGAATAGCTGGATTACTGAGGTGACCGGTACATTTGAGTGTTCTATGTGGAAATAATTAGAAGCTTGTGGCTCTCTTTCAGTAATAACCTGAAGTACA